CCGAATTTAATATTCTAATACCGGAAACTGGCCTCAAATCAATAGGGAAATCAGGATGCACCCCCCAGTACAATTTTGACAGTAAAAACTGGCTTCCGCAATGCCTCATGTTACTTAGGCCTGGAAAGTGTAAACAAATTCAATTGGACAGCTTTTACTTTTATCCTGCCCAAGTATACATTTATGAAAATGCTATGCATCTTTACATTGCCAGCTATAACAATGAAAATTGTGTTGTAAATCATTAGTCACACTCAATTTATCCTGCCTCAGCGGTGGGGAAAAAATGTGGCTCATAAAGAAAAGAAAGGAAAGGAAAGTAAAAGAAAGGTTGGTGTGAACACACAAAGAGCAGGGATAAATAACCCCTCCTGCAGAGAAAGAACCTCCTCAGCAGGCAGCCAGGACACAGGCTGGAGATGTGATCCCTGTGGTGGCCAGAGGCAGGGATGCCCGAGGCAAAGGGGGAGAGGCAGATGCTTCTCAAGCAGGGCTGGGAGGCGCAGCTGCTAACCGGACGGGTCAAGGCCCACCTGACTCATTCAGTAAGACGTTTTTTACTATTAAATTAGGGTTCTGAGTTGTCAATTTGGGAATTCTAGATTCCAGTATAATCACTCTCATAAGATTTTCACTGGCGCGTATCTTTCTGAACGCCTCAGTGCCCGTGGCCCAGGCTGCCAGGGAACGTGGAGAAAGGAAGAGGCTGGCTCCATGTCTCTGGGTGAGGCAGGGGGCTGCTGCTTCAGCCAGTTGGAGGCAATAAACGTTTGCGGGGTCCCTCTTGGTGCCAGGTGTTGTTGGAGCAGAGTGGGCACCCAGAGAGACCACTCCCAGCACTCAAGAGCTGAAGGTCTACAGCTGGGTAGTAATGCAAAGAGCTTTCATAATAAAATGCAGAAATGGGTTAGCAGTGTTTTATTTACTGAACACCCACTCTGAGCTGAGCACTTTCCACATGTATCATTTCAGTTAAGCCTCATAAGGACCCCCATGAGGAACATATTATTCCCCTTTTACAGGTGACGGAATGAGGCACAGAGAGGTTAAGTAACACGCCTGGGGTCACACAGCTAGGATTTGTACCTGGATCAGGCTGACTCAAGCAGATGCTCTGTCCACCACCTTAGGGGTACACAGTGCCAAGATCACGGCACTGCAGGCCCAGTAAGAAGGCTTCCTGGAGGGGGTGGCTTTGACCTAAACCACCCTCAACTTCTTCCAGTTCTCTGCCTGTGTCTGCCCTGGGACTTGAAGTAGCATCATGATTATGGTGGTTATAATAATAAGTAATATTCATGGAGTGCTCACTATCTGCCAGAAATTGTTCTGAGCACTTGACATGTTTTTAAGTCACTTAATCCCCACAATTTCCCTCTGAAGAGGGCAGGGTTATTATCCCACATTTGCAGGTGAGAAAACTCAAGACATTTAGTGGTTTGCCTGACTCAGCCTGTACCTGGCAGGGCTGGGACCTGAAGGCAGGAGCCTGGCCCCCGAGTCAGCGCTCTTAACTGAGACACCTGCCGAGCGGTGGTACAATGAAGGCCCATCAGGGATGCGGCACGCGCGCAAAGAATAGGAGTCAGGTGTTTCTAGGAAGCGGGGAGCTAGGTGACGACGACGTCGGCTCCTGCCAACTGGCCACTGACAAGCACCCGAATTTCTCCTCTAGCATTCGGAGTCCTCACGACACCCAACACGGGAGAAATTCTTATGTGTATTTTCCGGGAGAGTGGATGGCAGTACCAGGATTCCAGGTCAGACTCTGGCTCAGCTGGAGGGCAGGGGAGGCAAGGCCAGCGGGCTGAATTGGAAATAGACTTGACTGCCAGGCTCGGGTTTGTGTCTTCCTTCTCGTGAGCATTAAAGCATCCTACCACTTCCAGGTCCAGCCTTTCACGGATTCAAACCCTCCCGTCCCCACATTCCCATTAACTTGAGTGGGATCTTAAAGACATTTTCATGGAACTTCTTTTGAGGATCATTTGTAACTTAATTGACCTGGGGTCTGCAAACATTTTCCGTAAAGGGCCAGAGAGTAAATATTTTAGACCATGCGGTCTCTGTCACAACTACTCAGCTCTGCTCCTCTGTAGCATGGAGGCAGCCACAGTTCAGGTATGTGAACACGTGGGCGTGGCGGTGACTCAATAAAACTTTATTTACAAAACTGGGAGGAGGGCCATCCCCAGTATTAAGGGGAAAAGCATACCACCTAAAAAAATACATTGGGGTGATCAAAGTTCAGCCATGAGTTCTCAATTCTTCAAAAATTGGTAGTTTCCGTGCTTCTCACAAATAAAGAAAACAAGAACAAAGGCAAGAGTAATCCGTAGTTCAGTTTATAAAACCACGGATGCCATTCCAACCAGGGCAGAGAAGTGTATTTGCCCAACAGAGAACACTGCTTTAATGAACACAAAGTTATTCCAGAAACAATTACTCAGTTATTGTATAAAAAGAGCATCTGTCCTGATGGTCAGAAAGAGACTTCTCTATCTACCTTAAATGAAGAGTGTCCACATCCTTCCATCTAAAAAAGTAATTCACAGCTGAAACATTAGAAAAATTGCCGACAATTTTTTCTTAAAATTAACAGCTAATACGCTTATAGAGTAAATACATGTACCAATAAGAGAAACTATAAAACCAGCATACAGTTTACACTCAATAAACATAAATATATGTTGTTGAATTAACTTCCTAATTGTCGTTTATAAAGACAATGTGAAGTGGAAAGAGCTCTGAGGAGGCTGCTCAAGAGAAAAATACTGTGATCTTCATGTAATTTTAAATTTTCTAGTAGGTACATTAAAAAAGTAAAAAGTAACAGGTGAAATTAATTTATGTATTTTCTTTAACCCAATATCTAAAATATTATCATTTCAACATGTAATCAATATATAAATATTACTCATTTTACATTCTTATTTTCACACGAAGTCTTGGAAATCCAGTGTGTATTCTATACTTTGAGCTCACTTGGGTTTGGACCAGCCACATGTGGCTGGTGGCTACTATACTGAACGGCAGCTTTGGAGCGGGCCGATGTGGAAATCCAATCCCAGCACTGGCACTTTTTAACTGAATGGCCTTAGCTTCATCATCTGTAAAATGGGGTTAATAATAGTTACCTTGCAAAGCTGCTGTTGTGAGAAACAGCTATATTGTGGCTGGAGGAGGTACCTAATGAATGAAAGCCATTATTATATTAATTAACTAAAGCACTGAGTATTTCCTTTATAGAAGCACTGAATTATTAATACCATATGACAAATACAAGGCACTCTTGCAGAGCAAAAATGATAACTACACCCCATACACAAATAGACAAAAAGGCTAGCTCCAGGGTCAACAGCTTTCATATGTTACAAGGAAATTATGCTGCTGGACTGTTGTACTGCTGGGTCAGAGCATACCTCCCCTCTGTTGGTACAGCTTAAAGTACAACTGAAGAACCATAAACCGCACATATTGGATCGATTTTAACATATGTACAAACCTGGAAACCATCACCAAGATCAGGATCATGAACACATCTATCAGTCCCAACAGCTTCTGCATATGCTCTGTTGGAATCACTCCCTCCCTCCATCCCTGTCTCAGGCAACCACTGACTTGCTTTCTGTCTCTATACATTAATTTGGATTTTATATAAATGGAATCATACAGTATGCACACTTTTTTTGGTCTGGCTTCTTTCACTCGGCATGGTTTTGAAAGATTCATCCATGTTGCTATATGTATCAACAGTTCATCCTTTTTATTGCTGGTATTATTCCATTGTACGGATATCCCATAATTTGTTTACCCATTCAACCGTCGATGGACACTGGGGTTGTTTCCAGAACTGCCTCAGCACTTTTGATAAAAACTAATTGACTATATGTTCTGGTCTATTTCTAAACTCACTTTTCTGTTCCACTGACGTATTTGTTTACCTTTTAATACCAAATGCCAAACAGTTTTGATCACTGTAGGTACATAGTTAGTCTTGAAATCAGACAGGGTAAGTCTTTCAACTTTGTTCTTTTTCAAAATTGTTTTGCTATTATAGGTAACTTGCATTTCCACAGAAATTTTAGCATCAGCTTGCAGATTTCTACCCAAAATAAAACTGCAGGAATTTTGATTGGTGTTATGTTGAGCTATAGATCAATTTGGGGGAAATGCCATATTAACAATAGTCTTCCAATCCACGAACACAGTCTATCTTCCCACTCACTTGGGTCTTCTCTAATTACTCTCAGCAATGTTTTGTAGTTCTTAGGGCAGAGGCCTTACGTCCTTGGTTATTCCTAGGCAGTTTGATTTTTTGTGCTATTGCAAATTGAATTATTTTTATAATTTCACTTGACAATTGTTTGCTGCTAGTATATAAGAATACAAGTGACTTTTGTCTATGAATGTGATATCCTGAAAGCTTGCTAAATTCATTTGTTAGTTCTAGTAATTGTTTTGTAGATTTCTGGGATTTTGCTAAGTAAACAATCATATCATCTGCAAATTTGGACAGTTTTACTTCTTTTCTGATCTTGATGCTTTTTCTTGCTTCTGTAATGGCTGGAACCTGCGATGTGCTGTTAAATAGGAGTGGTAGAAGCAGCCCTTTCCTTGTTCCTGATCTTGGGGAAAAATTTAGTCTTTCATATTCCCATAGCTTAGACTTTGTCAAATTTATCCTTCAGAAAATGAACCGATTTAAATTCCCACCAAGGGCATGAGAGTTTGGTTGCTGAGATTTTATTCCTTGGTGATCTTACAAGGGAGAGCTTGCAAAGATTAAAAGGGAGACTGCCCAGGACAACATACAATATGTTTCTGTTTATCCAGAAATTCTGAGTAAGGCTACCCTCCCTATTCTTTATCAGGCTGGATAATCCCTGTCATCCTACTCTTAACAAAGCCCTTTCACACCATTTACTCTGGTGGACGTTGCCTGTGTCCCTGGCAGGCTCCTTTACAGGCTGCTGCGTGCATCCTTCAGCGGCTGGGAGGGTTGGCTGCTAAGGGCTCACGGCTGCCCTTCTCCTGAGTCCTGAATGACTGAACCAGAGCCACCTCACTCAGGAGGTTCCCTCCCCTTGGTGGGGACATGGCTAACGACCGAATGACACGAGGGCAAAGGGTCAGCTCCCAGACCATGGGTCATAGGATTCCATTTATATGAAATACCCAGAACAGGCACATCTATCGAGACAGAAAGCAGATTTCTAGGGCAGGGAGGGAGGGAAGGGGTTGGGAGGAAATGGGGGAGTGATGGCTAAAGGGCACAGAGTTTCTTTATAGCGTCATGAAAATGTTCTAAAAACGACTGTGGGAATAGATGCACACCTCTGTGAATAGACTAAACACCACTGAATTGTACACTTTAAATAAGTGAATTATATGGTATGACAATAAAGCTGTTACAGGACAAAAAAGGAAAAAAGGGAATAATGGCCATAATAGTAATAGCTATCATTCGTTGAAGATCTCCTGTGCGCCAGGCACTGTGAACGAGCCTCGTTACATCTATTATTTTTAGTTCTTCAACATTCCTAAAACGGATTACTGTACATGGGGTTGGGGCGTCGGCCCCCCCTCCCTCCAGGTGGGACCACGTCTGTGGTACGATTCCGAGCTCTGGTTGGATCAGGCGAAGTCCAACTCCAGCTGAGCACACATCCTTTGCTCCTTGGCCTGTCCTGCGTCCTCACTTCCCTGCTCCTGAGAGCCTCTCTCACAGGCCCTCCAACCCCCGTCTCAGGCTCTGCTTCCGGGGACCCCGGCCTACAGAGGGCAAGTGGACCTCGTGACGCCTGTCACTCCACGCGTGAGTCGAGGGGCGGCCCAAGGGCTCACCAGCCACCTGACTTCTCCCACAGCCCCGCCCACTTTAAAAACAACAGAGACTTTCCACTAGAGCTTCAGCCTGCTCTTTTCAGTGGTTTTTAAATTTTTTTCCACCATTTATCTTTATTGTTCTTCTGCCTTCAAAGGTAATGCATGCCTCAGGAGAGCCACTGAATAAACTGCGGTACGCACACACGGTGCAGCTGTAGAGAAGAATGAGGAGGATCTCCAGGAACTGATACGGAATGACTGCCAAGAAAAGTTATGGGAATAAAGAGAAAAACGCATATACAGTGATACGTGCAACTTACCCTCAAAGAGATCAGAAAAATATATATATTTGCAATATCTCTTGCAAATAATAAAAAAAAATAAAGCAATTGGGGTAAAATGCCAGATAAATCTGGGCAAAGGGTATATAGGTGTTATTTTTACTTGCGACTTTTCTGCAAGCTTGAAAATATTTCTGAATAAACAGTTAAAAGAAAAAAGCAATGGATGCTTGCTAAAAATAAAATCAAATGTTGCAAAAATACAGAGCATAAAAAAAAGGGGGAGGGAAATCTCTCTTCTCATTTTAGGAGTTCAGCGTGTATTGTCCAGATAATTGAAATGTGTGTACTAATAATACAGATATTAGATATAGGTCTATAGAAATACACAGAAGGACCTAGCCCCGCCACTTCCAAAAAATTTGGCCATAGAAAACCCTATGAATAGCAGAGGAGCCGCGTCTGATAGAGCGCCTGAAGAGGAGAGGATGGTGCGGAAGGACCAGGCAGGGTTCCGCTCTGCTGTACACTGGGTCCTAGGAGTCGGAATCAACTCGATGGCACTAACAGTAACAGAGAAACACATGTATACAAATATATATAATTGCACAAAAATGGGATATGCTATCTATGGATCTGCAACTTGCTTTCCTTCATTGAACACCATATCTTTTAATTGTTCCACTCAGGCCATCTCTATCTCAGAGCTACCTACAAAATCCTGAAAACTGTATTTCTGGTATATAAAATCTAGGCTGTCAGATGATCATTCTACATTTTAAACTGGGAGGTCAGGCGGGTTCAGAGCCTTTCAGGTACATGGGGACACTCAGAGTTAGTGCAGCTTCTCAGAGAGCCCTGGGGCCCTGGGGCAGCAACCGCTCCTGGGAGGAAGGCATCTCTCTGCCCAGGTCTACGGCAGGGTCTCAGGGGAGAGCCCATCTGTCCCTGTTTGCTGCAGGACCATTAGCACAAGAAGAGACTCTCTCAGGTCACAGAGCACTCAGGCCAAGCAGCCCTGTCTCTGCGTGACCTGACCTGGGCTGAGGGGTGCATTATCTCCTACAGGAGCCAAGCCCCTATCTTCTGAAGGACATGAGTAGCCATGGAAGGCTGATGACAACCTCCTTACCATGAGACAAGTGTTCCTGGGCTGGGCCACTGCTGGAAACCTGGGTTCATGCTTCTCCTCTTGTGGGCGCTAAGTAACATGCAAACATCTGCTCACTCTAGGCATTTGTTCAGATGTCTAGTCCACGTGATGTGAAACATCTGGCTTGTCTTAAGGAATCAGAGCCTCCTCTTGGGGTTCTCTCTTTTTTTGTTTGTTTTGCTTGGGTAGGAAGTAATGGCCCAATGACCAAATGAAATGACCTTCACCCAAAGCAAACTCATACTCTATAACCAGAAAAGATTTTTCTTTCTTTTTAAAATTTTTTCCCTAATTTCCTCCCCTAAAAAAAAGCCATGTGAATTATGCTTTTCTTGCCTCACCTCAATAATCAACAAAAATGATATTCTCCCTTTTTCAAGGCTCTTAATTGAACTACAAGAAGGTGGGAGAAGGGGATGAAACTACAATTCTCAATGGCAGAGAAGTGACCCAGAGAACACCAGGGCTGTGCATTTGCAGCTTAATCAGGATGGAAGTGGTTCTGCCGCAGAAGTCCCTAAGGAGAGCGTCCTGCCCTGGACTCAAGGATTAATTACGCCCCTGGAACCTTCAGACTCACTTCCCCTTATTCTTTTCTATATGGGAGGCTATGCTCAACTTTTTAATTTAATTTTCCCTTCCTGATGACTTGGCAATTCAAACCCTGTGTGGAATACGCAAGAGGAGAGCTGTATTTTATTAATACTAACATTTGGTTGCCAGAAAAGTAGTGGCAGCTTGAGGTTGGGGTCTGGGGATGTGGGCTTGAACCTCAGTCTGCCACTGCCAAGCTGTGTGAGCGTGGCATATCCATCAACCTCTCTGAGCCTCAGTTTCCCCATTTGGGAGGTAGGACTAATATCAACCACCCCAAGGGTCACTTCAAAGATCAAGTGAGACTCAGAGCCAAAGTCACACGGCTGGAAGCTGCCTGTGATGTACTCAGGCGGTGCTCAATAATTATACCTTCCTCTCACCCTTCTCTAAGTATCTGATCAGAAGATCCTTTTTTTATTTGCACAAATTACATCTTTTTCGCTATTCATAATTTCCTCTTTATTTTTAAAAAAAGATGGCAGGCTTGCATGTGAGATGGAGTGTGGGGCACACATTAAGGTTTCAGTCCAGAATGGACAATTTTCTAGATTTCCATTACCCGGTTTCCATGCCCTATCTTAAACACAGCTGTCAGGACAAGAGGCTCATTAAAAAGATTGTTTTGACTGACGGCATGTTCATGTATCAAATTGGAAATCCATCCAAAAATACTCGAGGGAGGTAGACAGAGGTGGTGGAAAGCCACAGAAGGGAGATGTTTTGCAGAATGTTGAGACGAAATTTGCTAGGGAAAAGTGCTCTAGCCCCAACGCTGGGCTATTCTGTGGCTCTGGCCTCAGCCCATGCTCTGCCTTGTGTCTTGAATGCCCTCCTCCTGCCCACATCTCCTGATGAACTCTATTATTCATCCTTCAATAGCCTGCTTGCTCCTCTCCTCCGGGAAAACATCCCTGGCCGAGCAGGATGAGGTTGATTCTCCTTCCTCCCGTCCTTTGCACGTTCCTCTACTTTTGCCCTGTGATATCTTGTTCCCACCTTGGTGTCCCCTACTGGTCTGTGAGGGCAGAGACCAAATCTATTTAACTGAATATCTATCCCCAGAATGAACAGAATAGAGCTGCTGTTCTATAGAAGACTGTTGGATAAATGAATGGATGGATAGATAGTGAATGCATGTATGAATATATGGCTATATTTTAGTAGGTGTCCTGAAGGAGAAACTCAAAACTTCCCACTTTGCCAATATTATCTAAGGAAAAGAAGAGTCCCCGTGTTTTCTGATATTACAAAAGAATTACAAGAGGGTGGAAGTCAGAGACAGCGGAATGAGCACTGATTTTGAATCCTGTCTGTTACTTAAATGCCATATGACAAGCTACTTTACCTCCCTGAACACCCGTCTCCTCGATTTTAAAAAGCGGATGACAATAGATCCCTCATGGAGTTGTTGTGAGTTGCAGAGACGATGTGTTTACCCCGAATGGAGGCTCACCATTGCATACTGGGGACACAGTGCTTTTCGGCACTGTTTTTGAAATAATGTGTGAACGTGGGCCTTTTCTTCCTTGCCGTGGGAGACAATGCTGGCTGTCTCCCGATATCCATGCCTTTCCTTTTTCTCTTTGCTAAAAGAATCCTGATTTTGTTCTGGGATATGTCCTGCTCTAGGAGGTCAGAGGCTGCATCCCCAGAACGAGGATGGAGGCAGCAGCGGCAATTCTCTTCCTATGGCACTCACGGGTTGGGAAAGGGTCTGTGGCCCAGGGCTGGATTGGGAGCTGTGGGAGGACCCTGGCTGGGGGGTCCTGGGGAAGGTTTTGTTTGTTTTAAAAAGTCCCTTTTCTGCCTCTGGTGGTTGTCAAGTCTCAATGTGATGTCCAGAACCACGGCAGTCACCTGAGAAGGAAAGGGCCACGTGGGGCAGGGTGCGTGTGTGGGGCAGAATCAAGATCAAGGCAGGATCCTGGTCCCTGAGTTACCGGGCTGAGAGCCTGAACTATTCCCAGCCTTCTATTTACACAAGATAATAAACTTCCTTGTTGTCAGAGCCAGGCGGGTTGGAATTTCCTGTTATGTAAAGCCAAAAGGAACTAAAACTATACTATACTTTTCAAAACAGTAACTCTCTTTCTTGGGTCACCAATAATCTATTTTTGAACACTATATAAAATCAGCCTTTGGAAGCTCTT